GTGAAGTTAAATCTTTGGCTAATTTCAGTTCTCCTCATTGCTGTGGAATCTGACAGTGGGATCTGTTTGTTCTTTTCCCTGGGCTCATCTTTTTTTTTTAACCTTCAAGCAAGGTGTCAGCAACTTCACACGTGCATTATTTTACCATCTCAGTGTCTGAAAATGTTTTTTTTTTTAACAAGCCATATTAACAAAGATCCTGGTAACTAAGCTCCTTCTATATGTGATAGGCCAACATCTCACTTCAGGGAAAAGTCCACAATGAAACTGACATTAAATGTGGAGAATGATACATTTGTGATAGAGCTGTGGACATGATCACAATTGATAACTTCCAATTTAATTAACTAAACATGGCCATTAATAATTGCATAATAACACAAGGCTACAACAGCAAACTGAATTTATAGGCTATTTATTAAATCCATTTGCCAGCTCCAGGTAGGCTGCACAAGTGACACATTGATTTGCAATGACTCCAGTGATATCTTCATTTCAATATATATTTATTGTATCAAATGGTAGGCTACATTAGCCTGCAATGGCATATAAATGAATTGCCTACTTGATGGCCAACAGATGCAAATGTAGCCTATCATTTTCCACATTTAATGTAATTTTCATTGTGGCTTTTTTCCCCATAACACAAGCACGCGAGGGAGTTCCATAACTTCAATTTCAAATTTCCACTCGCGCAGCGCTCGACCCTAGAACTGAGCATGAGTAAAACCCTTTGCTTGATACTGTTATCCACAAGAAAAGTCGACATTAGAATGCAGTTTATTTGAAACCACCTCTGAGCGAATTTATCTAAAGAGCTCTAGTGCGCCTAAAGTAGTTTTCCAATGTTTTGTCGCCATCAGTTCTAGCGCGTTAATATGTTTTATGGACAAAGGGTGTCTCCATAATGACCCATCTAAATAGCCTACCTACAACTGGTAAAAAGTTGTCTCGACGTGTGCGCATGTCTCCGTAACTCTGCTGCAACACCTCTCAACCAGTGCTCTCTGCGCACACACACTCCTCCGGCTGCAACTCACTTTCTCACTCACTCACTGCCTGATAGTCAGCAGCAGCAGGTTACAGTGAAATATATATATATATATATATATATTTAAGAGAAATGCCATGGCGGCCACGGTGCAATTTAGAAGTAGCCAAAAAAAACGCCACCCACAACCAATACATTTTCACCCGTGACATCCGTTTTCAAAGTAGCCCAATTTGGCGGGAAAACCGCGAACATGGCAACACTGTCTGTGCAATATAAATGAACGTGAGTAGCGTGGAAGTTTCCCAAAGTTTGGTGGCTTTAAACTTAACTAACTAGTTAGAAAGTATGGTCTATTGTGGTGCATGAACTGGCCATACACGTTAGCTAATGTTAAGGATAGTAGCCAAGGACTTCACTAGTTTATTTGTGCATATTTGTTTGTGCAGTTACACCTAGCTCAGCAGTTTACACATGATGACTTCAGCCTTATGTGAAAAACCTTACTGTTACTTAGCTAAAGATAACTAGCTAGCTTTCCTCGCGTGTTGATTAGCTACCTAGCCAACATTAGCGCTCATCTGACTGGTATAACATTACGTTAGCTAGCTAGTGTGGTGTCGAGACAACGATGCTGATATGCTGTGATGACAAGAAATCCGCTGACACTGTCCTTGATTATAATGGTTTATTACATCAAAGATTACAGTATCAATTTACAGACTCCTGCAGACATCTGGAGAACAACTGACCCAATCTCTAATATGTTATTCTCTCCGTCCTTTGTTCCAACCATGGTATTTATAATATGTAACATAATATGGGTGGTTTTTTATAGACCAATCCCTGGCCTTTACACATCCGAATCTCCTCTGTCTTAGGGGGCCCCTATAGTAATGTTTTCCAGATGTTTCCGCAAGCAGAGCCAAATTCCTCTAACACACCATTTGCAAACGTCAGCAAAATCATAAACTGTTTAGATACTACACTAGCTACCTAGGTAATCACAACAAAACCACATTCATTGGCTAGCTACTGTTACCTTTATTTGCCTGTTTGTTAGCTAGCTAGCTAGCTTTCAGCAGACTGGTGTTAGTTAGCTACAGAGGCTTGCTGCTGGACTTTGTACAAGCAAGTTAACTTTAGCTACGTAACGTTAGCAAGTTATCTACCTAGCTAATAAAAATATCTGTTTGCATTTATTGAATAACCTCAGCTTGAATACCACCATATAGCTAGCTCTATACAGTAGGCTAGGTTTGTTCACATACACTTCTTATGACTTGCAGCATGGTGCAAGCAGCTGTGTTGTTCCCGAGCAACCGACCCAGTGTTATATATCTCTGAGCTGCTACAGAAAGGTAGTACATCATTGTTTCTTAACGGACGGAAATCTGCAAGTGAATTTAATAAAAACTGTTGCACATACAAATTTACTCAATCCAGCATTTTTTTAAATCCAATGGTCACTTTATGGACGCTATAGTCTCGTTTTAATCCAACGTCTAGAATTTTAGCTAGGTAGGCGCAATAAAATCAATTGCTAACAACCCTGTTCAAAAATCCGGTATGTGGTTCTCGGTAATGGTGTGTGTGTGAGGAGAGGCGGAGAGTGTGTTGTGTACCTCCAATCAAGTTGATTTGTGATTTTTCAATAATATTGGTGTCATATTGGTTTAGATATGAGGGTAGGGAGATTATCATTTAACATTGAGCTTCAATCAATACCTATACACTATAGAATAATAGTGAAGACATCAAAACTATGAAATAAAACATATGGAATCATGTAGTAACCAAATACAGTACCAGTCAAAAGTTTGGACACACCTACTCATTCAAGGGTTTTTCTTTATTTTTACTATTTTCTAAATTGTGGAATCATAGTGAAGACATCAAAATTATGAAATAACACATATGGAATCATGTAGTAACCAAAAAAGTGTTAAACAAATTAAAATATATTTTATATTTGACGTTCTTCAAAGTAGCCACCCTTTGCCTTGATGACAGCTTTGCACACTCTTGGCATTCTCTCAACCAGCTTCACCTGGAATGCTCTCCAACAGTCTTGAAGGAGTTCCCACATATGCTGAGCACTTGTTGGCTGCTTTTCCTTCACTCTGCCGTCCGACTAATCCCAAACCATCTCAATTCGGTTGAGGTCGGGGGATTGTGGAGGCCAGGTCATCTGATGCAGCACTCCATCACTCTCCTTCTTAGTAAAATAGCCCTTACACAGCCTGGAGGTGTGTTGGGTCATTGTCCTGTTGAAAAATAAATGATAGTCCCACTAAGCCCAAACCAGATGGGATGGCGTATTGCTGCAGAATACTGTGGGAGCCATGCTGGGTAAGTGTGCCTTGAATTCTAAATAAATCACAGACAGTGTCACCAGCAAAGCACCCCCACACCATAACACCTCCTCCTCCATGCTTTACGGTGGGAACTACACATGCATCCGTTCACCCACAACGCGTCTCACAAAGATACGGCGGTTTGAACCAAAAATCTCAAATTTGGACTCCAGACCAAAGGACAAATTTCCACCGGTCTAATGTCCATTGCTCATGTTTCTTGGCCCAAGCAGGTCTTTTCTTCTTATTGGTGTCCTTTAATAGTGGTTTCTTTGCAGAAACCATGAAAGCCTGATTCACACATTCCCCTCTGAACAGTTGAATGTTAGATGTGTCTGTTACTTGAACTCTGTGAATAATTTATTTGGGCTGCAATTTCTGAGGCTGGTAACTCTAATGAACTTATCCTCTGCAGCAGAGGTAACTCTGGGTCTTCCATTCCTGTGGCGGTCCTCATGAGAGCCAGTTTCATTATAGTGCTTGATGGTTTTTGCGACTGCACTTGAAGAAACTTAAAGACCTTTATGTCTTTAAGTAATGATGGACTGTCGTTTATCTTTGCTTATTTGAGCTGTTCTTGCCATAATATTGACTTGGTCTTTTACCAAATAGGGTTATCTTCTGTATACCACCCCTACCATGTCACAACACAACTGATTGGCTCAAACGCATTAAGAAGGAAATAAATTCCACAAATTAACTTTTAAGAAGGCACACCTGTTAATTGAAATGCATTCCAGGTGACTACCTCATGAAGCTGGTTGAGAGAATGCCAAGAGATTAGTCGGATGGCAGAGTGAAGGAAAAGCAGCCAACAAGTGCTCAGCATTTGTGGGAACTCCTTCAAGACTTTTGGAAAAGTATTCCAGGTGAAGATGATTGAGAGAATGCCAAGAGTGTGCAAAGCTGTCATCAAGGCAAAGGGTGGCTATTTGAAGAATTTCAAATATAAATATATTTTTTGGTTACTACATGATTCCATATGTGTTATTTCATAGTTTTGATGTCTTCACTATTATTCTACAATGTAGAAAATAGTAAAAATGAATGAGTAGGTGTGTCCAAACCTTTGACTGGTACTGTACATCTAATCTATACATCCTGTCCATATCAAGGTTATGAGCAGTGGTTTGTCTGATTAACTCAACTGTATGAATGAGATAATGAGCTTCAATAAGGAGCCCAGTTAAGAGCTCATTAGTGAGTTTAGCCTCACATCAAAGCCTGTAGCAGCAGCTTAGTAGCAGGGCTGGAGGCTGTGAGGTGGAACAGGTGTAGATGAGAACCACTGACTTAGGGTCATTACTCCTCCATATTTACTGTAGGTGTGCATTTAAATAAGCTGTCTGATCTTTCTACACACGTGAGTACACACTCACACACACGCACGGACACACACGCATACACAGACACACACACTCACACACTCACAAAGAGCTCAAAGACAGTGTGTGATAAGCGAGTAATCTAATTAACACACTGGCCTGTCTGATTAAATCCTGACCTGTCTGATTGAATTTAAAGTTGCCACAGAAAACAGACTGAATCGCCACACTGACATGATGTATTTACACTGTATTGCCTTATTACTGTGAATCTACAGAGAGATTCCATTGGCTGACGTCTCCTTTGATGGTTTCTGTGTTCTATAGGAGTTTGATGATAATGAGAAAGACGAGGACATCGATGCTCTGATGTCGGTACACAGCAAGGCCACCAGCCGACGCATGAGCTGCGCTGTGTCCACGGTAACACCCTGCGGTATCGCAAACACAGACACACACAAACACAAACGCGCACACACACACAGATAATGGACATAAAGATGAATCTACCACGCTCTGGTACACAAGAAGACAGACTGGCACACACACACACACACACACAGCCCATAAAGAGGAGTGATGAGTCATGGCTGTGTTGAAACCAGTGTGTGAACAGTGTCAATAGGGCCAGTGGCCTCAGAGCTGAGGAACAGCAGGGCAGTGTCACACACACAGAGCTCACAGCACAGCTCACATATAGACATTTACTAGGAGCCAGGCCCATTAGCCTAAACACACCGTTTTTGTTATATACTGTATTACAGTATGTATGTCATTTGTATGTGTGCTATGCTCTGGTAGAGCCTGGCTTAGAACAACATTTTTGTTTATTTTCTCACAACACTAAACCAAATAATTAGCTGAGTTTTGTGATTGACAGAGTCATACTGACAGACTCTCTTCAGTTCAGATATTGAGACCTAGGTCTCTTTTACAAATGAGCCCTGCAGAATACAAACATACACACATCCCACTGGGCACAGACTATTCCCACGTTTGTTCAACATCATTTTGTTGAAATGACTTGGAAACATTGTTGATTCAACCAGTGTGTGCCCAGTGGGATCATATACGAATTGCAATCAATAAATAGGAAATACCCCCAAAATATACAAGAGAAGAAAAACACAATCATAAAAAATAATAAAATCGGAGACATCGCTAGGTTAACAAGCGACACACACGATGACATTTATGATTTCACCACAGACATGACTAACGGCATTAATTCTGGCCATGGGCTCTGCTCTCAATAACAGCAGAGGTGGAGGGCCATGATTACAGAGATTATGGAGATGAATGATGACTGGCTTCTGTGAATCTCTCTGCTTGAAAATATTGTATGAATAGAACAGAATGAATATTGGATGAGGGAAACACACACACACACACACACACACACACACACACACACACACACACACACACACAATATATATCTATAGCAGCAGTTCTTCTTATAATATTCATGTACACTATGAGTAATATTCATCATAACTGAATCCCGGTGTTCCGGTTCCTGTGGCATGCATTGAAACGTGTGGCTTTCTAGTGACTTTCTTTTGCAAAATAACTATGTATTAACAGACTTATTTTCAAATAATTGTCAACATATAACATCACATTAAGGTGTGGTACGTTAACTGTATTACAAGGAACAATAGCAGGTCTACTTCGCTCCAGCATCTGGCATATTCTGTCTGTTCACCTTCTGGCATATTCTGTCTGTTCACCTGTGGGAACATGGCGGCTCTCAACACCCGACAACAGAAAGAGTTGGCCAATAATATTGGCTACTACTATTGTTCGTGAGGAACAATGGCTGTGGCTCCTGCTTTTTGTTTCACATCCATGGGCTTATCAACACTAAATCTAACAATGACATCATTAATAATACATTCTTCTTTTTTTTTTACAATGGCAACCCTAGCTATTCTCTCTCTGAATGTGAAAGGTCTAAACTGTCCTATTAAACATTCCAGCTGTCTTGATATCCTAGCAAGAAACCATGTTAATATAGCAATGCTCAAAGAAACACACCTGCTCCAAAATAACAATTTGTACAAACTGGCTGCTTTTTCATCAGCCCCAAATAAAACTAAAGATGTAATCTTAATGATACATAAGAAACTTAAAATTACCATTGTGGGTAAAGGCGAAGACCAAGAAGGCAGAATTACTTTCCTTAAATGAATCCATAATGGAAAGAAAATTGCTTTTATTAATGTGTACGCGCCAAATTAATATGATCCTACATTTTTTGATTCTCTGAACAGCATATTGTTAGAATTAACTGAATTCCATCTGGTTATTGGGACAGATATGAAGGCCATTTTTGACATGCGGGACAAATCTAATAAGACCATCTACAATCCACATGCAACCAAGGCTCACCAGCATATACTCTCTGAATACAACTTCATTGATGCCTGGCAAACACATAATCCTAAAGCAAAAGAGTACACTTTCTATTCAAACAGACATCAATTATTTTCAAGAATCGATGTCATACTATTATCTGCACCTCTATTTTCTTTAATTAAGAAAATAGAAATTCAACATATGAGCTTGTCTGACCACGACACTTACTACTGCCAACTTCCAATTTCAGAATCTCCTAAAAGAGCCACAAGATGGCGTTTCAATGTTTCATTACTACAAAATCCTACTTTCTGTGATCAATTTAAAACGGAACTAAATTAATTAATAATGAATTAGCAGCCAACAAGTGCTCAACATATGTGGGAACTCCTTCAAGACTGTTGGAAAAGCATTCCAGGTAAAGCTGGTTGAGAGAATGCCAAGAGTGTGCCAAGCTGTCATCAAGGCAAAGGGTGGCTATTTGAAGATTCTCAAATATAAAATATATTTTGATTTGTTTAACACTTTTTTGTTTACTACATGATTCCATATGTGTTATTTCATAGTTTTGATGTCTTCACTATTATTCTACAATGTAGAAATAAACAAAAACCCTTGAATGAGTAGGTGTGTCCAAAAATTTGACTGGTAGGGTATATATATATATTTTTTTGTAGGACATAAAAGACTGTAAAAACACTAGGAAATCAGCTCCAAGTGATTTTAATTTAAGAAATCAGTTCCCAAGTATTCCCACGCATAATAGAGAGACGTGCAAGCAAGGTTTGAAATGATTATGTTTTATGCAAACAATCAACACTATATATCCAAAAGTATGTGGACACCCTTTCAAATAACTGGTTTGGCGGATGCCGAGAAAATGCCATCTGCCCCAATGCATAGTGTCAACTGTAAAGTTTGGTGGAGGAGGAATAGTGGTACGGGGCTGTTTTTCATGGTTCGGGCTAGGCCCCTTAGTTCCAGTGAAGGGAAATCTTAACGCTACAGCATACAATGACATTCTAGATGATTCTGTGCTTCCAACTTTGTGGCAACAGTTTGGGGAAGGCCCTTTCCTGTTTCAGCATGACAATGCCCCTGTTCACAAAGCGAGGTCCATACAGAAATGGTTTGTCGAGATCGGTGTGGAAGAACTTGACTGACCTCACAGAGCCCGGACCTCAACTCCATCGAACATCTTTGTGATGAATTGGAACGCCGACTGCGAGCCAGACCTAATCGCCCAACATCAGTGCCCGACCTGACTAATGCTCTTGTGGCTGAATGGAAGCAAGTCCCCGCAGCAATGTTCCAACATCTAGTGGAAAGCCTTCCCAGAAGAGTGGAGGCTGTTATAGCAGCAAAGGGGGGACCAACTCCATATTAATGCCCATGATTATGGAATTAGATGTTCGATGAGAGGTGTCCACATACCTTTGGTCATGTAGTGTATCTGTTTGGGCTTCTGCTCAAGAACAAATCGGCCCTCGGCTGAATCTAGTTGATGATCCCTGCTTTAATGTTTACTACATGATTCCATATGTGTTATTTCATAGTTTTGATGTCTTCACTACATTCTACAATGTAGAAAATAGTAAAGATAAACAAAAACCCTTGAATGAGTAGGTGTGTCCAAACTTTTGACTGGTAGGGTATATATATATATATTTTTTATAGGACATAAAATACTGTAAAAACACTAGGAAATCAGCTCCAAGTTATTTTAATTTAAGAAATTAAGCAGGTGTCCACATACTTTTGGTCATGTAGTGTATCTGTTTGGGCTTCTGCTCAAGAACAAATCGTCCCTCGGCTGAATCTAGTTGATGATCCCTGCTTTAATGGTTCAAACAGCAGACCAATCAGCGTGTTACAGTGCTTAGCAAACTTTTGGGAAAAATCGTGTTCAACCAAATACAATGTTAAATTAACAACAGACTTTCAGCATGCTTTTAGGCACTCAACATGATCAGCACTGACACAATTGACTGATGATTGGCTGAAAGAAATTGATAAGAAGTTTGTGGGAGCTGTTTTGTTAGACTTCAGTGCAGCCTTTGATATCACTGATCATAACATATTGCTGAAAAAACTAAGATGTTATGGATTAACATCCTCTGCCTTATCTTGGCTGGACAGTTACCTATCCAATAGAACACAGAGGGTTTTCTTTAATGGAAGCCTCTAATGCAAATTTGGTTGAGTGTGGTGTACCACAGGGCAGCCGGCTTAGACCATTATTGTTTTCTGTGTTTACTAATGACCTTCCACTGACCTTGAATAAAGCCTATGTGTCCATGTACCCTGAAGACTCAACAGTATACACGTCGGCTGTAACAGTAAAATAAATAACTGACACCCTTAACATAGAGCTCCAGTCAGTTTTAGAATGGGTAACTAGCAATAGACTGGTGCTAAAATCTAAAAAACTAAAAGCATAATTTTTGGGACAAATCACTCCCTCAACCCTAATTCTCATCCATCTATTATTGAATAATGTGTCTATTTAGCAAGTTGAAGAGACTAAAATGCTGGGTGTCACCCTAGATAGAAAGCTATCATGGTCAAAACATATAGACTCAATGGTTACTAAAATGGGAAGAGGTCTGGCCATGATAAGGCGTTGCTCTGCTTTCTTGATATCTCAGTCAACCAGACAGATCCTACAGGCCCTAGTTTTATCGCACCTGGACTACTGTCCAGTTGTGTGGTCATGTGCAGCAAAGAAGGACATAGGCAAATTGCAGTTGGTCCAAAACAGAGCAGCACGTATTGCACTTAGATGTACATGGAGGGCAAATGTCAATTACATGCATGTCAATCTCTCCTGGCTCAAAGTTGAGGACTCTTCACAGTCCCCAGTCCCCAGGTCCAGAACAGAAGCTGGGAAACACATAGTATTAAATGGAGCCATGACTAAATGGAACTCTCTGCCACCCCAGGTAACTCAAGCTAGAAATAAAAACAGATTTAAAAAACAGATAAAAGAACACCTTACGGCACGACGGGGACTGTGAAGAGACACACAGACATTTTTATGTATTTTGCATTGTATTATGTATTTTATTATGTATGTAATGCGTGGTTGGGATACATACGACTGTGATATGTGGTTGTCTTGCCTGGCTATCTTAAGATGAATGCACTAGCTGTGGGTTGTCTGCTGAATGGCTCAATTGTAATGTAAATGTAGTGCTATGTATGTGTATTTATGCATATTATATATTTTATTTGTTATGTTGTTTCCTGTTTGGACCCCAGGAAGAGTAGCAGCTGCCTCGGCAGCAGTTAATTGAGGATCCTAATAAATACTAATACTCAAATACTAAATTGTTAAGGACTGGGGAGTTTCTCAGGATAAAAAAAGAAACAGAATGCAGCTAAGCACAGGCAAAATCCTAGAGGAAAACCTAGTTCAGTCTGCTTTCCACCAGACACTGGGAGATTATTTTACCTTTCAGCAGGACAATAACCTAAAACACAAGGCCAAATCTACACTGGAGTTGCTTACCAAGAAGACAGTGCATGTTCCTGAGTGGCTGAGTTACAGTTTTGACTTAAATCTACTTGAAAATCTATGGCAAGACCTGAAAATGGTTGTCTAGCAATGATCAACACCCAATTTGACAGAGCTTGAAGGATTTTAAAAAGAAAATGGGCAAATGTTGAACAATCCAGGTGTGGAAAGCTCTTAAAGACTTAGCCAGAATGACTCATAGCTGTAATCGATGCCAAAGGTGCTTCTACAAAGTATTGAATCAGGGGCGTAAATACTTATGTAAATTAGATATTTCATTTTCAATACATTTGCGAGACTGTTTTCACTTTGTCATTATGGGGTATTGTGTGTGTAGATGGGTGAGAGGAATCTATTTAATCCATTTTGAATTCAGGCTGTAACACAACAAAATGTGGAATACTGTAAGTCAAGGGGTATGAATACTTTCTGAAGGCACTGTAAATCCATTCCAAGCCAGACTAAGTCCTTTCTAAAATAATTAAGAACTCCTCTTCTCTAAACAGAAAACATGCACGACTCAGCCCGTACTCTACACAGACCGGTGTGGCATAACCAATCAGAGCTGCAGTAGGCCTATATGCAAATAGACTATTGCCATATATGGATCTGTGGCATTCACTTTGAACTGGACTGTGTTTACAACATGAGCGGTCATGAGTAGATGCACTTCTTTTGAGATCAAAGCGAGAGCTGCATGTAGCCACTTGTGCACATTTGTTCATATCCTTTTCTAGTTAGTGAGTTAGTAGCCCAGTTATAGTTAATTTGTAGTCAGCAACAGGGGAGTGATTGCTTCCTACAAGAGCACAAAACATGTACATTTCTAGACATCTTTGAAAAGCGAGTCGGGTAAAGAGCTTTTTTTGTCTTAAAGGGGCAGTGTTGCATTTTGAGACAGGCATGAATAAACTAAGTAGCCAATAGGCAGAGGGTAGCATAATTTGTCTGATTCTCTGTAACAATGGTATGGGAATAATAATGCATTTTATTTAGTAAAGTGGTTTCTTGCATCAAACAACACAACAACATTTTCAGTCACCTCATTGTCCGAAGGACAATAGATAAACAGGTTAATGTCAAGCCCTGCATGTTTTTTTCAAAAGTCTCATGGAATGTAGGCCTACATTGAACACCACATATTGGCTGCTACTGTAGGCTGAATGATAGAACAGCTATTTCCATGTTAAAATTTTATGGGATGCATTTTCTCCATTGTTTTTGATGGTAGGCCACTCTGGTAGGCCTACATTATGCTCAAATAGCCACAGTAACCTACTTGACCACTGTCTGAAACTGTAACTTAAAGTGGGTACAGCCTCAGTGTTTGCAGTAAACGCGCTGGAAGTTGCACAGAATTATCACAACGTTCAAGTTTGCGCTCAGCAGACCTGACATTTGCTCAGTGCCCAAAATAATTTGAGGGAACATTGCTGATCACTTCATCTCATTATACACAGACAATATTTTACTATATCTAGACAATGTATCTCAGTCGCTCCCAAAGGCATTGAAGATCATATATAAATTCAGCTTCATCTCACGCTATAAAATCTATCTAACCAAATCAGCCCTACTGCCTCTCAAGACCCCGATGGAGGACTCCATCTCTACTTATGGAGTCCCAATTATTTCCCATTTTAAATATTTGGGAGGAGATATACAGTACCAGTCAAACGTTTGGACACACCTATTCATTCAAGGGTTTTTCTTTATTTTTACTATTTTATACATTGTATATACATTTATACCTTGTCACAACACAACTGATTGGCTCAAACGCATTAGGAAGGAAAGAAATTCCACAAATTAACTTTTAACAAGGCACTCCTGTTATTGAAATGCATTCCAGGTGACTACTTCATGAAGCTGGTTGAGAGAATGCCAAGAGTGTGCAAAGCTGTCATCAAGGCAAAGGGTGGCTACTTTGAAGAATCTCAAATATAAAATATATTTTGATATCTTTAACACTTTTTTGGTTACTACATGTGTTATTTCATAGTTTTGATGTCTTCACTATTATTCTACAATGTGGAAAATAGTAAAAAATTAAGAAAACCCTTGAATGAGTAGGTGTGTCCAACCTTTTGACTGGTACTGTTTCTTTCCTTAGATAAAACCATTGCCAGAAACTTTAACAGAACGCTCAAATCAATTCAATCCAACCTCAGTAGATGGGATTGGGGGGCTAGGCGGGGTGAAAGGCATGGTTTCTGGGTGGGTGGAGAGGGAGGATGCTGGTGGGTTGATGGGGACTGAGCTGGGGTTATCTTTGTATGCATTTCTTTGATCGTTTTTTTGTACCTGTAACCCCCCTTTCAAAATAAAAGAAGACAAAACTAAATAAAAAGTTGGTCACAAAAAAAAGAATGAAGCACAGAAGGCTGATTCTCTTGTATCCACTAAAACACCATTGCTCCCGGACATGTTGCTTTTTTGGAAGCGCATGTGTGTAGTTGTCATTGATATTTACTGGTGCTTTCAGCCTGTCTGCTGTATCCTTTTCTGTTTATTCATTGAGGAGTTATAATCAGGTCCAACTTCATCTTATAATCACCATGGCAACCCTGCTAGATTCTGTTTTGTGTCAGTGTCTGGTGCCTGGGGTTTCTGCTCTGGTACGTGGGGTCTGTCCTCTTGTCTCTGTCCTCTATCCTCTTTACACTTTCACATGTATCACCCCTCTCTCCCTCCTCCTTCTCTCTCTCCTCCTTCCCTCTCTCCTCCCTCTTCCTTCCCTCTCTCCTCCTTACCACTCTCCTCTCTTTCTATCTCTCTCCATCACTTTCTCCTCTCTCCCTCCTCCTTCTCTCTCTCCTCCTCCCCCTGCTGGCTCGGGGTCTATTCTTCCTCTGGCTCCTAGTCTTCTACTCCCGGCTCAGAGAGAAAATGGGGCTTCCTCAGTGTCCCTGGTGACTCGGACGCAGAGACTGTGAGTTCTTGCCTCCTTGTGTATTTGTGTGTGTGTGCTTGCATGTGTGTGCCCCACTTATTGTGAATATATTTCCACCAAGCTGTGCCACTCTGCTCCAATTGCTGCCACTGACTGCCTAAATTGGTCATTCATCATACTGGCTCACTCTATCACATAAATGTGATAGACTTGAGGGTTTTACATTCCCCAGCCAGACCCATCGCTCACCAAATGACTAAATCTGTCCATTCTGCATTTTTACCTGCACAAAGACTAAAGGCTATCCCTGCCTCCATCTGTCTTCCTCCTTTTCCCTCCATTTCATTCTTAATTTCCTCCCTGCTCTGGCTTTCCTCTTCTCTCTCCCTCATCTTTTCTGATTCTCTAACCCTGATCCTCTACTTCTCTGTCCTCCATTCTGATCTTTTCCTCTCCCCTCTTCCCCCTCCTCTATTACACTATTTTAATCATTTTGCTCTCTCCCTACCCATCTCCTCTCTCTTCTCTCTTTATCCTCTCTCCTCTCTTTCCCCCTCTCCTCTCTCTCCCTCTCTCCTCTCTCCCCCCTCTCCTCTCTCTCCCTCTCCCCTCTCTCTCCCTCTCTCCTCTCTCTCCCCCTCTCCCCCCTCTCCTCTCTCTCCCCCTCTCCTCTCTCTCCCTCTCTCCTCTCTCTCCGCCTCTCTTCTCCTCACAGAGCAGTCTGAACAGTATGATGAGTATGTACAGTGAGACTGGTGACTATGGCAACGCCAACGTGAGTGGAGAGCTGCTGTTGAACATCAGCTACAGCTATAAGACAGGCGCTCTCAACGTCCTGGTGAAGGAGTGTCGTAACCTGGCCACCGGGGACGAGAAGAGGCAACGCACAGACGCGTAAGAGCACACACACACACTGAAAAACCTATGCTTACTGTGCCTACAGTTTTAAGAAATTACACACACACACACTTCATTATCACACATTCCAACTTGAAAAAGAACACACACCTCTTAACAGCATAGTTCCTGACCGTCAGCTCAACTTGAACCAATCCATGACTGAAGTGTGAACTCAGCATGACCCACAATAACTGTGACAGTCATGGTATGTCAGAGTAACCCGATCACGGCATACATGTCTTCCTATGGAGTGTGTCTGAATGACTGTCTTTTCCATTGGCAGCTATGTGAAGGCGTACCTCCTCCCAGATAAGTCTCGCCAGAGCAAGAGGAAGACCAGCATCAAGACCAACACAATCAACCCTGTATTCAACGAGAACCTTAGGGTGAGGGACTGTTTGTGTTTGTGTGTGTGTGTGTGTGTGTGTGTGTATGAAAATGTATGTAGCTTGGGAAAAACAGTAATATGTAATAGGTTTTTTTTGTGATCATGAGAATGTGTGTCCTCCTTGGATGGGATCAAGTTGCCTGGAGACTGTGTGTGTCTCAATAGGAGTGTGTCAGTCAGCAGGTGTTCATGCTGATGTAGATCTTAACTTGATCACCCTGTTGCAGGAGACCCTTCCACATAATAATTCACATTTCCTGTTGCTGCAGGATTATTTTCCTGCTGTAGCAAACTGAATTAAGATCCTACATCTGTACATTATATAAAGAAATGAAGCCTGCTCCTCCCATGTGTTTTCATTAACCTGTACCACCATACCTACAGTGTTTCAGCCTTCATAGCCATCAATAGCCTTCATCTCAAGCACCCCTGGTGTACATTTTATTCCTGTATGAGCATCGGCAGGAACTTTGGTTTGGTACTCAGTCCTACTCTCCTGTCGTCTCTCTCTCTCTCCTGTGCTGTGTTTGTGTAGTATGTGATCAGCCACTCCCAGTTGGAGACACGAACGCTGCAGCTGTCTGTGTGGCACCACGACCACTTCGGACACAACAGCTTCTTGGGGGAGGTGGAGCTGACCTTTGACTCCTGGGAGTTTGACAGCAACATGGAGGAGTGGTACTCTCTGCAGCCCAAGGTATCCTGTGTGCAGATGGACAATAGTGTATATGTGTGGATTTATACAGCACTGTATGTTTATCAGTGGTAAATGCTTTAAGTAGATTTGTTCAATGTGCAGCTGGACTGTAGTATGGACTCCACGCTCCAGTATAAAGGGGAGCTGACCGTGGTTCTGAAGTACATCCCTGCAGAGAAGAACCTCATGCTACCCCTGGACCAGGTCCAAGGTGCTCCACAAAACCCCTCTGTTTTAATTGCTCCAACCCATCACTAACACATATCATTCAACTAATGACATTTCATGAAAGACTGTTTGGACTTTTGCTCATTCACCTCTTCCTCTCCTCCTCTCAGTGAAGAAAGGCTTTCTGAAAGGAAAGAAGACCAGCATCAAGCTGCCTAAAGGAGGCATGGTGGAACTGCTGGTCAAGGAGGCCAAGAACCTGACCTCTGTCAAGTCTGGAGGCACCTCAGACCCCTTTGTGAAAGGGTGAGACCCAGATAGACCCATTCAGTTTCGTCCAGCCTTCATTCCTAGTAAGAATGACGGGAAGAAGGACCTACTAGCTAGCTACCTAATTCCTATTCCTCTGACAGTTTTGTATGTCTTGTTTCCTGTATCCCCATCCATCCAGGTACCTGCTCCCTGACAACAGTAAGTCCACCAAGCACAAGACGGCGGTGGTGCGTCGCACGGTTAACCCTCAGTGGAACCACACCTTCACCTACTGTGGCCTGCAGGCCGGAGACCTGAACAACGTGTGTCTGGAGCTCACCGTCTGGGACAAGGAGGCTCTGGCCAGCAACGTCTTCCTGGGGGGAGTCCGGCTCAACGGAGGGACAGGTCTGTCTGTCTGGGAAGAGCCAGGGGCTGTGATGGGTTGTTTGGTGTTGGACATCTCTGCTGTTCTGCTCTTCTTTTGTTCTCTTCTCTGGTCTTCTCTTCTGTAAGCTTCTCCTCAGTTTAACTCTAGTCTTCACTTCTCTTATTTTCTCTCTCTTCTCAGAGGTTATGGTGATTTGTAGCATATTCAGTCAGCATAACGCCGAAGGGATATGGAGTGGATAGAACAGATAGTGATGATCTATTGTCTCCCTACAGGCCAGAGCTATGGGAACGAGGTGGACTGGATGGACTCGTACGGAGAGGAACAGCGGCTATGGCAACGCATGATTGACAACCCGGAGGTCCCCCATGAGTGTACACTGATGCTGAGGTCCAGCATGTGCAAGCGCAACACATGAGATGGAGGGAGGGAGGTTTAAGAAGGACAAAAGAAAGAGGGACAGAGAGAGATGGCGGAAAAGGGAGAAACAGTGGAAGGAAAGAGGGGGAGAGAGAAGAAGAGACAAAAAGAAAGAGGACAGTGGTTGATAGTGATCCATATCCATGCTCTATCCCGCAATACAGAGCTGATGACATCACCCCACTTCCTGACCCTTGAACCCTAACTTCTGAGCTACCCTGATCCTGCACTGGGGTTCGTGGTCCTCTACCTGGTAAAGAGGTCAACCAGTCATGCCTTACACACACATGGCCATACCCAGCCAATACCAAGCACTGCTACTACTACTACTACCACTACTACTACTGTACATTATGTACAGGTAACTGCCAAAATAATGGAAACACTTGAGTAAATGAGAGATACAAAGTATATTGGAAGCAGGTGCTTCCACACAGGTGTGGTTCCTGAGTTAATTAAGCAATTAACATCCATCGTGCTTAGGGTCATGTATAAAAATGCTGGGTAGGCCATTATTTTGGCTACCATGGCTATGCCCCATAGCATGACAATGCCCCCATCCACAGGGCATGAATGGTCACTGAATGGTTTGATGAGCATGAAAACAATGTAAACCATATGCCATAGCGGTCTCAGTCACCAGATCTCAATCTAATTGAACACTTATGGGAGATTTTGGAGCGACGCCTGAGACAGCGTTTTCCACCACCATCAACAAAACACCAAATGATGGAATTTCTTGTGCAAGAATGGTGTCATGTCCCTCAAACAGACTTCCAGACACCTGTAGAATCTATGGCAAGGTGGTGGCCCAACGCCCTATTAAGACACTTTATGTTGGTGTTTCCTTTATTTTGGCAGTTACATGTATGTAACATAATGAACAAGCACATTGTCAATTGTATGATCTTATCTGACTATGCACAACGCTCTCCTCTCCCTGTGTTGAGACTACTTGAGGTAGAAGTTGTCCTTAACCCCAGATCTAGGATCAGATTGCTCTGACCTGCTCTTAACCATAACCATTTAGGGGGAAGATAACATATCTGACCCCGCATCAGTGGCTCAGGGTAGCTTTTACCTAGGCTTTGACTCAATCAGAACCCACGTTGGCAGACATCTGCCTAGCGGATGTTTTGTTTCGTGTCCACGATAAGCTAACGCAAGGAGCCGATTGTGGATTTTCAGCTCTTAACACAGTTCCACCTCAGACACCGCCAGAACAACCGCTATGTGCAGATCTAATAGAATCTAGCTCCTACTCTCATAAGGTAACTACTCCAAAGGCACTTAGAGGTTGATGCATGCTGAGTAGATTTAAACATTCCCATAGTATACCGTAAAATGATCATAAGGGTGTGTTCATGATTGCATTGTTTCAAGCAATAATGATATTATGCAACATTTTTGAACTGATCAACCCCAGTTTCAAAGTGTTGCAAAATTGCATTGTAACTGATCCTGAACACACCAATGGTTTTACTGTAGTCTTGATAAAGCACACATTAAGAGTAGAGTGGGACAAATAGCCACTTCATCAACAGATGTTTTTGGACCTAATTTTGGGTGGAAACAGAGATTAAGGCAGAAATCTAACCAGAGATCCAGCAGCACCAAATTGCATTGTGTCAAATATGGAATAAAGAGTTGGGGGCAGTTGTATCTGTACCACTGGAAACGTTTTGCCCCAGGAGCCTTGGGGAGATGGGAGGAGGATTGTGTGGTCCAGGGTGAGCAGGCCAGACCAGGCTGTCTCAGTCATAGGGAGAATCTCAATAGACTCCTCGAGTCCTCTCTCCTCGCCTCCTTCTAAAAACCCACTGCAGGAGAAAGTCAGAGGGGAGGGACCTCCGTGGATGAGTAATAACACTTCTAGTATCCCTGCGTAAGTGATTCCGGAGTCTTGGCATGCGCCTCAAATGGCACCCTGTTTCCTATATGGGTGATTCTACAGAAGTGGTGCAAATTGGGGGTTGGAAAGAAATTCACATTTGTATCCTATTTTTCCAAAACTTTCAGCACACATCTCTTAAATAATATGTCAGATAGGCATATCTAATACTCACACACTGTTTGTATTGCATATTTGAAGTATTGTCCTGAATTTCTTACCAGGCACAAACTTTGCCACCAACGAAACATACTGAAAAAGTAGCAATACATGGAGAACCATGCACAGTATTGATCATTTGGATTAACCTTATTACAGATTCATTTTAAATGTTTTATTTGCATACAAAATTGACAAAATAGTAAAAACATGATTTTTAACTGGATTTTCAAAACCTTTAAATTGAATTTAGAGAAATGTCTCTATTGTTCTCTGTAAAATGTTCAATGTTGATTGTATGAATCTAAACCGTATTGATTGATTTAATTACTTATGTATCTAATTAATTATGTTGTTTGATGTATAAATTGTAACTTTTCCTATCTTTATTTTATCTAAATAACAGGCGGGCCGGTTTCAAGTGTCAATCATAGAGATATATAGAGGACTCTAGACGGATATATATTTTAGTATAGACATTGCCATTGAGGGCTTCCACCATTTTAAAGTAGTCAACTGGATGGGGATTCTTATGGGTTGGGAGCATTATGTTCTTCAAATTGAGTTGCCTATGGTTTGTAAACCAAAGACTAAGGTCTTGTTCGAGATCATGAGCCAAGACCAAGATTTTAACCAGGACATCGGTCCCAAGATCCAGACCTAGGGAGTTGAGACCATGACGAGTTAAATACAGAATTGATGTGGTCTTGAGTTCAAGATCAAGACTCCATGGGCCCTTTCTTAAATTCGAATAAACTTGAGTGGAGTAAAGTAGAGTATAGTTCACTGGAGTACTGTAGAGTGCAGTACAGGACAGTAGAGAAGAGTACCGTACAGGACAGCACATTATAGACGTCTATGTCTGGGCCAAATAGATGACAATGTTTGGGCTCTTTGAGGATTGGAGCCCCCCTGCTGGCTATACAGCTCAATACACTTTTTCCTGAAGTGTGCTCTTGACCACTACCTACATGGTGGTCCTCTGTTGCTCAGGATGTAGGGCATGGCGGTTGTAACTTTAAAATGGAGATAGCCTCAATGGCGCTGGCACAGATGCCATAATGGCACAGATACAAAGATGAGACCTCTATCTATCTCTATGGTGTCAATTGTTTCGGTTGTGACCGTTTCGGTTTGGACAATTTGACTTATTTTGGACATTAATCCCCGTAGCTAGCATATGGCTGGCTAGCTTCCATTTGGACAGATGAAACACAAACACATATTTTAGTCCCAAAACCATACTTTAAATATTTAGTGAAATATTAGATGTTGAGTAGTGACACTTCTTAAAAATACATGAAGATTTACCAACTTGCGCACTCATTTTCTCCAAAATGTTTGCAGACAGACTACTCACTATGTGGCCATGCTGAAGTGGGGTGCAATCACATCAGCTGGAGATATTTCTAGGGGTGTGGCTTAATGCACATTCATTCCACAGTCTTTTAATGTGTGTGTTTTATCTGTCTTTTAACGGTAGTGACATCAAAAGGTGGGACAGCATTTTTTAAAAAATAAACAATACTACTAATTATATCAGTATCTTTCAATGTAATAATATAACAACTCAAGATGTTCTATTGAAATAATAATGCTAAAACTATTTTTAAAAGCATTAATTGCTTTATTTTCAAACATGAAGTTTAGGAGTCAGGGTGTGAGACAGACATCTCTCAATAGAAACAGGTATATAAACAATGACTTTGTACTATATTCATTTAACAATATGTTTGTTATTTCCTTGAAGTGAATTAGAATATATCATGATGTAATTAAATGTCCTAAATTTGGAGACTTAACTGTTTTTTTAAATAGTTTTTTTTTATGTGGGACAGCAATTTACAACACTTCTGTAGAATCACCCAAATAGTGCACTATATTTTATTGATTTTTTTATTTAACCTTTATTTAACCAGGTAAGCCAGTTGAGAACAAGTTCTCATTTACAACTGCGACCTGGCCAAGATAAAGCAAAGCAGTGCGATAAAAACAACACAGAGTTACATATGGGGTAAAAAAAACATAAAGTCAAAAATACAACAGAAAATATATATACAGTGTGTGCAAATGTAGCAAGTTATGGAGGTAAGGCAATAAATAGGCTATAGTGCAAAATAATTACAATAGTATTAACACTGGAATGCTAGATGTGCAAGAGATTATGTGCATATAGAGATACTGGGGTGCAAAAGAGCAAAATAAATAACAATATAGGGATGAGGTAGTTGGGTGGGCTAATTTCAGATGGGTACAGTGTACAGGTGCAGTGATCGGTAAGGTGCTCTGACAACTGATGCTTAAAGTTAGTATATAGGGAAAGGGATGCCATTTGTGCTGCAAACTTGGTCTCAGTGTAGTTACAGCCTACTGTGCAGTGGTGGAAAAAGTACTCAAGTCATACTTGAGTAAAAGTAAAGATACCTTAATAGAAAATGACTCAAGTAAAAGTGAAAGTCACCCATTAAAATACTACTTGAGTAAAAGTCTAAAAGTATTTGGTTTTAAATATACTTAAAGTATCAAAAGTAAATGGAATTGCTAAAATATACTTAAGTGTCTAAAGTAAAAGTATTCATAATTTCAAATTCCTTATATTATGCAAACCAGACGGCACCATTTTTTTGTGTTTTTTTAATTTACGGATAGCTAGGGGCACACTCCAACACCTAGACATTCATTTACAAACGAAGCATTTGTGTTTAGTGAGTCCGCCAGATCAGAGGCAGTAGGGATGAGCAAGGATGTTTTCTTGATAAGTGCATGAATTGGACCATTTTCCTGTCAAAATATAACGAGTACTTTTGGGTGTCAGGGAAAATGTATGGAGTAAAAAGTACATTATTTCCGTTAGGAATGTAGTGAAGTAAAAGTAAAAGTTGTCAAAAATATAAATAGTAACGTACAGATATCCCAAAAAACTACTTAAGTAGTACTTTAAAGTATTTTTACTTAAGTACTTTACACCACTGCTACTGTGGAATGCCAAGTCTACATATTCACCATTGTCTGAGTTCCTGTTATGCTCTGAATTCCGAGAATAAACAACCATTGAAAACTACAGAATACAGTAATCATAATAATACTATTAAAATGGCATTTACTGTATAGATGAGTTGCGTGCAATACCCAGCTACTGAAGAAACACTAGACGTGTCTAACAGCATGTTACTGTCTCTGTTTTAATGTCTTCTCATTCAAAACTAGATTGTTTGATTTGGCATGGCAATGTGACTGAATCAATCTCTTATTTTGTTTAACATGTGTTATCAGAATATTTTGAAGAAATAAACCACACATATCATTCCTTAGATGATTTCTATGTATGTTGAGAACAAACTTGCTTCTCTGTGCATTATGTAACTGTCTGTATCAGATCCAGTGTGTGTGTGTGCGTCTGTAAAAGTGTGAACACATTTTGATCAGTGTTATTTCCTGATAGTTGCTGGTTGAAAATACAATCTACACAGGACCTTCTAATCAGCAGGCTTACATGGGTAGGAGTTTCGGCTTTCCATGGTGACATCACCATGCGGTAAATTGTAACTTTTTGGGTGACCTGACCAAATTCACATAGAAATGGGAGTTATAGATCTGTCATTCTCATTGAAAGCATCTCTAAGAAGCGGTAGATCTGTTCTATGTGCAGTATTTCTATGCTTCCCGTTCTTAAGTTTCGTTTTTGCATCTCTTACTTTCAGTTTTGTACACCAGCTTCAAACATCTGAAAATACAATATTTTTGGTTAGTGAAAATATATTTCACAGTAGTTTATATGGTACAATGATTCTCTACACTATACTTGTTTGTTTTGTCACATAAACAAAAATTAGGCGAACTAGTAGAATTTGAGCAACCAGAAAATGGGAGCGATTTCTGCATACTGCACCTTTTAATAGACCAATAACAGCTTGTTTTCAGTTTGCCCCAACCCACTCTGACCACTCACAGACAGTCCTAGCAACATTCTTGCTTAAGAAATAGTTTTTTGCTAAAAAAGCTATTTTTGCCAATTTTAATGGAAATCTATTACAGTAAGGTACTTAATTGTTACCCAGAAATTATTTGATATTGATATAAAAAAAACAGCTGCATTTGGCCTTTAAAAAACAAACATACAAACTGACGAGTAGAAGAATCAATATGATTGTGATGCATGACCTGCTCTGCCCAGGACCTCTAACTGCTGTAGGATGCAGTGATGGAAGAGAGTAATATCTCCATTCTACATTTACATTTACGTCATTTAGCAGACGCTCTTATCCAGAGCGAATTACAGTTAGTGCATACATTAATCTTTTTTTTTTAATTTTCATACCCCATGGGAATCGAACCCACAACCCTGGCGTTGCAAATGCCATGCTCTACCAACTGAGCTACCTCCCTGCCGGCCATTCCCTCCCCTACCCTGGACGACGCTGGGCCAATTGTGCGCCGCCCCATTGGTCTCCCGGTTGCGGCCGGCTACAGCAGAGCCTGGATTCGAACCAGGATCTCTAGTGGCACAGCCTTAGACCACTGCGCCACTCGGGAGACAATCATCCTGGTTCTACCTAGGACCTCTAACTGCTGTAGGATGCAGTGATGAAAGAGAGTAATATCTCCATTCTAATCATCTTGGTTCCAATGGTCCACAGCTCAAAGTCAAATCAGGTGTTCCAGTACTAATGATTCCTACTTAGCAATGGCTATTGAACCACCTCTCTCCTCACAATGAGAAACACACTTAAAGTGGCACGCCAGCCTCCTTTTCCCCTTATTCAACACCTGATTTAGACGTCCTCCAGCAATGTTTGAAATGTTACTGTTGAAAAGCGATATCCCAAGTATAAATACAGTAGAGTATACACACTAAAGGGTAAAACATATATTTTTAGCAAAATTGTGTTTTTTAGACACAACTGCAAACTTCAAGGAGTAGGGCATTCAATGAGTTGTTCTTATGGGAATCTGTGATGTCATTGGCCTCCCCCTTGCTTGAGGAACAATAGAGGAGCAATAGAAAATAAAAGAGGAAAGCCCCACCCATTAAACCAACTCCTTGAAGTTTGCAGTTGTCTAAAAAACACTATTTTGCTCAAAAGTTGTTTTTATCCTTTAGTGTGTGTACTTTACTGTATTTATTGATGGGAAAAACGCTTTTCAACAATAAAACTTCAAACATCGCTGGAGGACGTCTTTAATTAACTGAAAGGCGTTACATTGGTGGGAAATGGAGGGTTTAACCATTGAGGGAGTCTCCTAGTGAGGGATACGTTGACTAGCTGTGGTCTAATATGGGGAAGTGGAGGATGGGAGTCATGGGTTCAGGTAGTAAGCTTGAGCGACAGCAAGGTTTAAGTAGTGAATTGGGTTTAAGTGACAGAAGGGTTTTTTATTGGGATGGGGAGGACTGTCCCACAGGGTGAGGGAAATGGGGTGGGGGTGTAAAGAAATAGCGGGGGGACAATTGGGGAAAGAGCCATATATATGGAGAGTTGGGCCAATGCGCTTTGTCTGAACGTTCCAAAAGCGCCACTTCTCCATAGCCGTTGCTAAGTGATAATTGACGCTTCCACGTTGTGCTGATAGTTTTCTAAACCTATGAAGATTTCCATTGAAAGCAGATATGCAATTTGTTGATGCCACAACACAGTACAGACAGTACACATACAGTGAGGGAAAAAAGTATTTGATCCCCTGCTGATTTTGTCCGTTTGCCCACTGACAAAGACATGATCAGTTTATAATTTTAATGGTAGGTTTATTTGAACAGTGAGAAACAGAATAACAACAACAAAATCCAGAAAAACGCATGTCAAAAATGTTATGAATTGATTTGCATTTTAATGAGGGAAATAAGTATTTGACCCCCTCTCAATCAGAAAGATTTCTGGCTCCCAGGTGTCTTTTATACAGGTAACGAGCAGAGATTAGGAGCACACTCTTAAAGGGAGTGCTCCTAATCTCAGTTTGTTACCGGTATAAAAGACACCTGCCCACAGAAGCAATCAATCAATCAGATTCCAAACTCTCCACCATGGCCAAGACCAAAGAGCTCTCCAAGGATGTCAGGGACAAGATTGTAGACCTACACAAGGCTGGAATGGTCTACAAGACCATCGCCAAGCAGCTTGGTGAGAAGGTGACAACAGTTGGTGCGATTATTTGCAAATGGAAGAAACACAAAGAACTGTCAATCTCCCTCATCCTGAGGCTCCATGCAAGATCTCACCTCGTGGAGTTGCAATGATCATGAGAACGGTGAGGAATCAGCCCAGAACTACACAGGAGGATCTTGTCAATGATCTCAAGGCAGCTGGGACCATAGTCACCAAGAAAACAATTGGTAACACGCTTCGCCGTGAAGGACTGAAATCCTGCAGCGCCCGCAAGGTCCCCCTGCTCAAGAAAGCACATATACAGGCCCGTCTGAAGTTTGCCAATGAACATCTGAATGATTCAGAGGAGAACTGGGTGAAAGTGTTGTGGTCAGATGAGACCAAAATCGAGCTCTTTGGCATCAACTCAACTTGCCGTGTTTGGAGGAGGAGGAATGCTGCCTATGACTCCAAGAACACCATCCCCACCGTCAAACATGGAGGTGGAAACATTATGCTTTGGGGGTGTTTTTCTGCTAAGGGGACAGGACAATTTCACCGCATCAAAGGGACGATGGACGGGGCCATGTACGGTCAAATCTTGGGTGAGAACCTCCTTCCCTCAGCCAGGGCATTGAAAATGGGTAGTGGATGGGTATTCCAGCATGTTAAATGACCCAAAACACACAGCCAAGGCAACAAAGGAGTGGCTCAAGAAGAAGCACATTAAGGTCCTGGAGTGGCCTAGCCAGTCTCCAGACCTTAATCCCATAGAAAATCTGTGGAGGGAGCTGAAGGTACGAGTTGCCAAACGTCAGCCTCGAAACCTTAATGACTTGGAGAAGATCTGCAAAGAGGAGTGGGACAAAATCCCTCCTAAGATGTGTGCAAACCTGGTGGCCAACTACAAGAAACGTCTGACCTCTGTGATTGCCAACAAAGGTTTTGCCACCAAGTACTAAGTCATGTTTTGCAGAGGGGTCAAATACTTATTTCCCTCATTAAAATGCAAATCAATTTATAACATTTTTGACATGCGTTTTTCTGGATTTTTTTGTTGTTATTCTGTCTCTCACTGTTCAAATACACCTACCATTAAAATTATAGACTGATCATTTCTTTGTCAGTGGGCAAACTTACAAAATCAGCAGGGGATCAAATACTTTTTTCCCTCACTGTAATTATCCCGAATGCTAATCAATAAAAACGTCTGTTAAACACTGCTCTGTTTTAATTGTTTAGAGCAAGAATTAAGGCGCTAACATGGCAGCCATTCTAAAACCTGGCCCACTCTCTATATATATGATTCTGGTTGGGGGTAGTGGGCTTTTTGGGAGAGGGGGTGTTGGGGGGTGGGGTGAGGGTGTTGTTGAGGTGTTGTACTACTGGCAGGTGTGGTCTGCCTCCTGCTGCAGCACCATCTCATCTATGCGTCCCTGCCATGTGTCAATGGTGGTGAAGATCTGGGCTGAGGTGATGGGGTACGTGTAGCGCTCCCTGTCCATCCCCTGCTTGTCTATCATCACCATGTTGAAGTTATTATGGGAGATCTGGAGCAGTAACCTAGGCAACACACATCAACACTTCCATCAGGTCAAGGCTGAACACACAATGGTCAGTCTGAAGAATGCTGTGTAAATTAGTTGTAGGTTTGTTATGAATGATGATGGTGTGTCTGTGTGTGTGTCTGTGTCTGTGTACATGAGTTGTAGGGCCAGCCCTGGAGGGATAAGTCTGTGGCGGATACGGCCGATCTGTGCTGGGTAAATCCCCCCAGCTCAATCACTGTCACATGCCTGAGGTCCAGACCACACTGGGTATGCTAGAACACACACACACACACACACATTAATATCATAAACACACAAATAACATTGTACACACACTAGCACAGAACATGAAAATGCACTTACATAGACATTTCACAGAATCTATCACCTGGACAGTTAAAGGCGAAGTTGGAATGACACAGCATATAACAAGAGTCACCTCTTTCGTGACACTTTTAAAGGTCAGGCCTTTTAAAGGCTGCTACCCTTTAATAGCTTTTTATGGCAGAGAAGCATCCAAACCCAGAACAGCCTGAATTTACAGAGAGCACCGGCCTTGTTTACGCTGCGTCGTGACATTTTCTGTTTACCAGGAACTGAGGCAATACACACCCCATCAGCACAACCACTTCAAACACACACATTCAGCTAGGGCACTCAAAAAGCAGAATTGTACCTACTCTCCCACTCTGTCTCTCCTTTCTCTCTGGCTCCCTCCCTCTGTCCCTCCGTCCCTCTCCCTCCATCCATCTATCCCTCCATCCCTCTCTCCCTCACCTGAAGATTAGTCATTTGGAACCTGTAGTAATGATTGGCAGCTGTGGGAGCAGAGATGATGAGGAGGCGTCGTTTCTCATAGAACTGGTCCAGCAGACCTGAGGCCGTACGCACCCCCACGTTGCTGTTCATAGCTGTGACATAACATGACACAATAAAACACAATATTACATTGCATCATATCACATCATCATATTTTATGAAAGCAAATGTTGTTCTTTTTGGAAACACTTGAATTGCGATTGCCAATAAAAAATATATATTTAATTGCTGTTTTACTCTTTACTAGTCTTGTTGCTAGCCAATGACCCAGAGCGTATAAGCAGTGCTATACGGAGCGTCACTGTATTACACAATACTATAGAAGTATAATACACCTCTATTAGACATTATAAACTGGGTGGTTCGAGCCCTGAATGCTGATTGGCTGACAGCCGTGGTATATCAGACCAAACACCACGGTATGACAAAACATTTTATTTTTTTACTGCTCTAATTACGTTGGTAACCCGTTTTTTAATAGCAATAAGGCACCTCGGGGGTTTGTGGTATATGACCAATATACCACGGCTAAGGGCTGTATCCAGGCACTCCTTAGCCGTGGTATATTGGCCATATACCACACCCCCTCGGGCCTTATTGCTTAAATAATCCACATAAGTATGTGTCACAGACAGTGCTGGTCGATTTCAGAGCAGGCGGTATTGATCTTCTGGATCTTTGTGATCGAACGACAGCCCAGCCTGGTCAAGGGAGACATGCCCATTTTCACCTCCAGTGAACCCCTCAGCACCCCTGACCACCGCTTCACTACTGCTAAACACAGCATGGTGGATGTGTCATGTACGTTTGTGTGGTGTGTGTATGTGTGTGTGTGTGTGTGCACAGACACGTACCTGCACAGTTGGTTTCCGTGCCAGACCAGGTGAGACCGTACTGGCACACCCTCGAAGCGCTGCCCTGCAGCTCGTACCCTCCTGTACATTTGAACTCACAGGTGGCTCCGTAGTTATTACCATCACTGTCACACTTCATAAAGCCGTTGTCTGGAGGGGTCATGGGGCTGCAGCGACGCACTGGTGGCACAAAACAGATTCAGAAAGCCACTCTCACAGGAACAATTTGTAAGTTATGTGATTTTCCTTCAAATGTTGTCAGAACATTGCCCCAGTAAATTTCAAACTGTCCCTAATGTTGGGGGGGTCACCTTGTACTCTGACAGAGAAGCGGCAGCTGCCCTTGTTCCCGGCGCGGTCGTAGACGGTGTAGGACATCTTATGGAGACCCTCAGGGAAGTGTCCAGGAGGCTTCCCTTTCAATATCACACTGTAAAAAGCCTCAGTCAAATACTATACTGTATCAATAGTGCTGAAGCCTAACTAAACATTTACCCTACTATTACTATTACTGCTGCTACAAGACTATTCATTTGGCAATTAAGCCCTTTTCTTCTTATCGAGAGTCAGATAAACTGATGGATACTATTTTTATGTCTCACATTATCCTTTTAATACTACAGGTTAAAGGAAGGGGTTAAGGGTCAGATGTCAGACTGACTCGGGGAGGATGCCGTCGGCCGTGTCCTTGCCCTCTGGTGTGTCCCAGGTCACCTTGGCTGTGAGCCTGCCTGGCTCTGCTGTCTTGTGCTTCAGGTTAGGACACTTTATTACTGGGACGTCCACATCTACCAGAGCAAGAGAGAGAGAGAGGGGCGAAGGGGGGAGGGCAGGTGAGAGGGGAGAAGTAGCGAGAGGGGGAGGTAGAGGAGAAGAGGAGAGAAACAGGAAGAGAGAATAAGGAAAAGGAAAACTGTTATCCAGAGTGATCCCCCTGTTCTGTTCTGTCATGTTGTGTCCTGTCTGTGTAACTGATTGATTTCAGAGCAGGCGGTATTGATCTTCTGGATCTCTGTGATCGATCGACAGCCCAGCCTGGTCAAGGCAGACATGCCCATTTTCACCTCCAGTGAACCCCTCAGCACCTCTATACCAGGCGGTGTCAGAGGAAGTCCCTAAATACTGTCAAAGACTCCAGCCACCCTAGTCATAGACTGTTCTCTCTGCTACCGCACGGCAAGCGGTACCGGAGCGCCAAGTCTAGGTCCAAAAGGCTTCTTAACAGCTTCTACCCCCAAGCCATAAGACTCCTGAACAGCTAACCATGGCTACCCGGACTATTTGCATTGCCCCCCGACCCCACCCCACCCCACCCCAACCCCCTCTTTTACGCTGCTGCTACTCTGTTTATTATTTATGCATAGTCACTTTAACTCTACCCACATGTACATATTACCTCAATTACCTCGACTAACCGGTGCCCCCGCACATTGACTCTGTACCGGTACCCCCTGTATATAGCCTCCCTACTGTTATATTTTATTGCTGCTCTTTCATTATTTTCTATTTTCTATTTTCTATTTTATTTTTTCTTTAACACTTTTATATTTTGATTTTTTTACTGCATTGTTGGTTAAGGGCTTGTAAGTAAGGATTTCACTGTAAGGTCTACACCTGTTGTATTCGGCGCATGTGGCAAATTTGATTTGATTTGATTTGATAACTGGGGTGATTTTAGACTAGAGAAGCTACTGTCACAGCAGACCAGGAGAATCAATGTAATTTCACTAGAGCAGAAAGCACTAGTCTCTATGTGTGTCAGTGTGTGTGTTACAGAACCTGTTCTCTGATCTAAATCACTAAAAAAGTCCAAATCAGATTTTTTGGGGACAAAACAACATTCAATATAATGTATTGTCTTCAACTTCAGTGACAATTTTTGTGTCTCAGAGAGGCTTAGCCACAAACACACACACACACACACACACACACACACACACACACACACACACACACACACACACACACACACACACACACAAATACACACACAATTCAGCCATGCTTATAATTACATAAACACAGTCATTGAACATCTACTTTCCCTGTTAGATTGCTAGTTGTCTGATGGATGTAATTAGGCTAGGGGGGATGAGGAGGGAGCAAGGAATCTGAATCTCACCATATCCATCCTCAGTAATGAAAATAAGCTACAGTGTACAATGTCTCCACAACTGGTTTAAACAAATCACACACCACCTTAAATTGTGTTTGCATACAAGATGCTACTCCAGTTGTTCTGAGACTGGGATTGTCATAGTTCATAGTGTGTCATGCTTGGGCTAGCAGCACAGGTTTGTGGTTACTCAACCTTATACTGTGTGTGTGTGTGTGTGTGTATGTGTGTGTTTGAATTAGGTCTTACAGTTTTTTCCAACTGCTTACACACAAAATCTTTTCATGTCACACGATTTTTTAAACCTCTCACTCAAAGTGCAAAACTACACACCAAATCTCCAAAACCATAAGCTATTTCTCAGCCTTTGACTCAGTTGTCAATTGCATAAAACACTTTTTTCAAAACACTACACACAATTCTCTACCTAAAACACAAAAATCTAACAGGAAGTGACTTGCTTTCCTTTTCCAAACACAACCAATCAAAATGCTACACTTATTCACCAGGTCACACACACACTCCTCACATGTGCAAACACTAATTGCTTAACTGATCACTAACCAATCACTGCTTTACTGTAGTATAGGCCTATAAATAGGTCAAAGGTCAGATTATCTGTTTTGAACAATGGATGCCAACAATGGACAGAGAGCAAGAGGAGTAGGAGGGAGAGGCAGGGGACAACAACGAGGACAAATTCAAAGACGAAGAGGAGGAGGAGGAGTAGGAGGAAGAGGAAGAAGAAGAAGAGGATGAGGGCAAAGAAGAGAAGGAAGGAGAGCCATCTCTGATGAGATTAGGGCAACACTTGTTGATCATGTGAACAATCACGGTTTGACCATGAGAGAGGCTGGACTGAAAGTCCAGCCCAATTTGAGTCGATTTACAGTGGCGTCCATAATTCGAACCTTCAGAAATGAGAACAGGTATGCAACTATCTAATGACTATTTTAGCATTACAGTAATGTACTGTAACATATGTATGACTGCATAGTATTGCATAAACATTTGTAACTCTAAGCCATCCATTTACTGCACTGCATTGAATGAATGAGGTTGGTTATCATGCTGTACTAAATTTTTTTGTACATTGTTTACAGTTCCTATGCTGAACACATACTGTGTTTGAATTCTGTACAGAGTGGAAAGGCAAAGACATAATGGAGGACGAGGACGCTTGTTTACAGATGTACAAGAGACTGCAATTATAAGTATGGTTTTGGCCAACAATGCAATTAGGATTCGAGAGATAAGAGCATATCTTGAATAATGACACCATATTTAACAACATCAATGCTGTAAGCCTGTCGACCATACAACGCATCCACCAACGGCACCAAGTGACGATGAAACAACTTTACAAGGTGCCATTTGAGAGAAACTCTGACAGAGTCAGGAATCTGCGACATGACTTTGTAGAGGTATGTATGCAACACTACTTCCAGTACTTCAGACATACCATATTTACTCATCTGTATATCCTTTTGTCTGTTACAGAGAGGATTGGAGATGGATGCCCATGTAATTCGCCATTCATTTATTTATGTGGATGAGGTTGGCTTCAACCTCACCAAAACCAGGTGCCGCAGAAGAAATGTAATAGGACAGAGGGCAATTACCAATGTCCCTGGACAGCGTGGGGGTAATATAACTATGTGTGCTGCCATCACTCAAAACGGGGTCCTCCATCACAATGCCACACTGGGTCCGTACAACACCGGCCATATGCTCACTTTTCTGGATGCAATTTACACAATGCTTGTCCCTGATCCAGATCAGGAGCCTGCTAGATTTGTGGTTATATGGGACAATGTTAGTTTTCACCGGGCTGTTCTGGTCCAAAACTGGTTTGCCACCCATCCGCAATTTGTAGTTTTGTACCTACCCCCATATTCACCTTTTCTAAATCCCATAGAGGAATTCTTCTCAGCCTGGCGCTGGAAAGTGTATGATCGCCAACCCTATGCCCGCATGCCGCTTCTCCAGGCAATGGAGGACGCATGTGGGGACATAGAGGTTGCCTCTGTCCAAGGTTGGATACGCCATGCTAGGAGATACTTCCCTCGATGTTTGGCAAGAGAAAACGTATCTTGTGATGTGGACGAAGTATTTTGGCCAGACCCAGCCTGGAGAAGAGATGAAGCGTAGGTTAGCCTACCAATTCCTGGACTGCCCCCCCCCCGGGACCCCACACACACAATTGTGTTCTTTACTGTATTCTAAAGAATATACTTTTGGTTTACATATGTTTATGGTTTTGTTGTATGCTACTGTATACAACAGTAATGTTTGGCCTAATAAATATTTTCTGTTTCTACATTGCATTGGTGTTTACAGTGTACTTGTTACCCCTCTCAGCAGATTACTTTCACTGTAGAACATTGTATTGAAATGTAGATATAAGCCTATGAAAGAGCTTTAGATATAGAACAACAGTGTTTACATGGTATATCCAAAAATGTACTATTATGAAAGAAGTGTTTGCCATTTGATGCAAATGCTTCATTCTGACATGTGTTTATGGCATTTTGAATGCAGTGTTACCTTTTGAAGGAGATGTGAGGCATTTTGCATTTTGTGTGTGCAGTTTTGGGAATTGTGTGTAGAGTTTTGAAAAAAGGAGACCGTTTTGAAAATGTGTGTAAGCAGTTGGAAAAAACTGTAATTAAACCTGTCTATAATACTGCCTGTTTCCCACAGAGCAGTACGTCATTAAGTCAGTCAGGATGTGATTTATAATTTAATTGATCCCATAGTCTAGAGAGCAGCCTGTATGTCCTTAGCTGTTAAACAGTGTGGGGGTTGGAATTAGGATGTGGCTAAATTCAATGTGCTTTTGAGGTGGAAAAACTCAATAATAATCACACGCACGCACACACACACTCTGACTCACCCACACAGACGCTCTCCACCGAGGTCCAGGTCTTGTGGTACTGGCAGGTGACAGTATTGGGCCCCTTCAGATTGTATCCAGGGGAGCAGAAGAACTCACAGCGGGAGTTAAGGTAGGAGCCGCCTGAACACTTATAGCCCCCGTTAGCAGGCATCTGCAGCTTAGGACACCGGATCTCTGACAGAGAAACATACATTAATAGTCCATACATGTCTGATTGTCAGGTAGCTGTTGAATCTGACAATGAGTCTATTAGTTGTGTGTATCTTCAGGGGTTTATATATATTTGGTGTAGAGGTGTGTGTCCAGTGATGTTGTGTCTTGCCAGTAGGGCAGGTGTGTGTGTGGTGGTCTCACCCCTGCAGGCGTAGTTGCCTGACCAGTGTTTGCTGGCCATACACACCACCTCTGGGTGTCCCTGCTGCATCTCGTAACCCCTCTTACAGCGGATCTTACAGCGCGAGCCCATCACGTTCTTATAGTACTCCCCCGCGGGACTCCGACAACTCACATCGCCATGCTTCACCTTGATGGGGGCGCACCAAGGGGTCCCTAAAAACAGGGGTGGGAGGGGAGTGAGAGGGAGAGGGAGAATTACAGTGCATTCGGAACGTATTCAGACCCCTTGACTTTTTCCACATTTTGTTACGTTACAGCCTTATTCTAAAATGTATAAAATAAATGTTTTTCCTCATCATAATGACAAAGCAAAAACAGGTTTTTAGAAATGTCACATAAGTATTCAGACCCTTTGCTATGAGACTCGAAATTGAGCTCAGGTGCATCCTGTTTCCATTGATCATTCTTGAAATGTTTCTACAACTTGATTGGAGTCCACCTGTGGTAAATTCAATTGATTGGACATGATTTGGAAAGGCACACACATGTCTATATAAGGTCCCACAGTTGACAGTGCATGTCAGAGCAAAAATCAAGCCATGAGGTCGAAGGAATTGTCCGTAGAGCTCCGAGACAGGGTTGTGTTGAGGCACAGAGCTAGGGAAGGGTACCAAAAAAGTTCTGCAGCATTGAAGGTCCCCAAGAACACAGTGGGCCTCCCTCATTCTTAAATGGAAGAAGTTTGGAACCACCAAGACTTCCTAGAGCTGGCCGCACGGCCAAACTGAGCAATCAGGGGAGAAGGGCCTTGGTCAGGGACGTGACCAAGAACCCGATGGTCACTCTGACAGAGCTCCAGAGTTCCTCTGTGGAGATGGGAGAATCTTCCAGAAGGACAACAATCTCTGCAGCACTCCACCAATCAAGCCTTTATGGTAGAGTGGCCAGACAGAAGCCACTCCTCAGTAAAAGGCACATGACAGCCCGCTTGAAGTTTGCCAAAAGGCACCTAAAGGACTCAGACCATGAGAAACAAGATTCTCTGGTCTGATGAAACCAAGATTGAACTCTTTGGCCTGAATGCCAAGCGTCACGTCTGGAGGAAACCTGGCACCATCCCTACGGTGAAGCATGGTGGTGGCAGCATCATGCTGTGGGGATGTTTTTCAGCGGCAGGGACTTGGAGACTAGTTAGGATCGAGGTAAAGATGAACAGAGCAAAGCACATAGAGATCCTTGATGAAAACCTGCTCCAGAGAGCTCAGAACCTCAGACTGGGGCGAAGGTTCACCTTCCAACAGGACAATGACTCTAAGCACACAACCAAGACAACGCAGGAGTGGCTTCGGGACAAGTCTCTGAATGTCCTTGAGTGGCCCAGCCAGAGCCCGGACTTGAACCTGATCAAACATCTCTGGAGACCTGAAAATAGCTGTGCAGCGACGCTCCCCATCCAACCTGACAGAGCTTGAGAGGATCTGCAGAGAAGAATGGGAGAATCTCCCCAAATACAGGTGTGCCAAGCTTGTAGCGTCATACCCAATAAGACTCAAGGTTGTAATTGCTGCCAAAGGTGCTTCAACAAAGTACTGAATAAAGGGTCTGAATACTTATGTAAATGTAATATTTCCGTTTTTTATTTTCAATACATTTGCTAACATTTCTAAAAACCTGTTTTTGCTTTGTCATTATGAGGTATTGTGTGTAGATTGATGAGGGGGGGGGGGAAACAATTTAACCCAGTTTAGAATAAGGCTGTAACGTAACAAAATTAGGAAAAAGTCAAGTGGTCTGAATACTTTCCGAATGCACTGTATACCATTCATATAAAAGAGTGAAATAAAACCTACTGGTTCAGCTATCAATGTAAATAAACTAGTGTTGTGTGGACATCCATGTTTTCTTATCTTACACACATAGTGCCTCTCTTCATTTTAGAGAGAGCAGGCAGTGAGTTACCCATAGCAACATACATAACCTATACCCACTGACCACAGGACACAGTGTTTACAGCATAGACTAGAGAGATAAAAGCTGCAGTGCTAGTGTAAACCCACCCATCATATCATCACAGGTAGACAGAGAGATACAATGGGTTTGTCACTTACCATAGTCCACACTGACATTTTGAATAATAAGAAACGCTTGCTTGAGTAAAGAAGAGCTAGAGAGGTTGAGAGAGAAGGAAATTGTTTGTTTGAGTGTGTTTGTCTATCTTTGGTCGCTGTAGATCCAGTGGATTAAAATGGAATCACTCAATCATACTGTTGATTAGAGCTACTTAACCCCATCAATTCAACTATCAATGAATAGAACCTTCAGAACAGAGGCTGAAGTGGGCGATAATTAAGAGCTGATTTACAGCAAGATGGTCATAATCATGAGGGATAAAGATTTGTCAGAAGAACACTAAAGTTGCCTCATCCAGTTGGACCACTCTATCCATCTCTCAAACGCTTGCGTAAAGATTCCTTTTGGGAATGTGAAGTTTGAGGGGACACCAGGTTCGTATTCCAGGGAAATAACATCTGCAGTGCATTTCCCGCTGGCTCGGAACACAATCACTTCCTTGTACGCACACATACACACTCTCAAACACACACTAGCCCAGGATAATCTCCAGCTGGACAGGAGCAGGTGTGTGTGTGTGTGTGTGTGTGTGTGTGTGTGTGTGTGTGTGTGTGTGTGTGTGTGTGTGTTGGCTATAACAATACTATATTTGCATCTCTACAGAGGAGAAAGAGAGTCCAGGAGTTTGGTTTGGCCCAGAGGGTAAGGTTCCATGTCCAACTGACCTCAATGAAAAGTTGGAAGTTAGTTTGACATAATTGTGTGTTTGTAAAACATAGTGAGGGGAGGCAGAATATCGCCATCTTGTGGAAAGAAAATTAGCACAAGTGTAGACATCACATTGCTCGGCTATTCAAAAAAAAAAAGAATCCCAATGTTTTTAAAAAGTTAAAAGTTATTGCTTTGAGTTTCAGAGGCTTACTTTAACCCTAAATTCTCCTGCATGTTGAAAGTGAGTGTCTGTGAGTGTGGAAACTCCTGAGTGGCGCAGTGGTCTAAGGCACTGCATCGCAGTGCTAACTGTGCCACTAGAGATCCTGGTTCGAATCCAGGCTCTGTCGCAGCCGGCCGCGACCGGGAGACTCATGGGCGGCGCACAATTGGCCCAGCGTCATCCAGGGTAGGGGAGGGAATGGCCGGCAGGGATGTAGCTCAGTTGATAGAGCATGGCGTTTGCAACGCCAGGGTTGTGGGTTCGATTCCCATGGGGGGCCAGTATAAAAAAAATATATATATATATGTATTCACTAACTGTAAGTCGCTCTGGATAAGAGCGTCTGCTAAATGACTAAAATGTAAATGTAAATGAAACGTGTGAGAGCATGTGGCAGCAGAGCTTGGTCAAAGCATTCACCTCCATTTCTACGAGCATACGTGTCTTCATCATCTCCATAGACATAGTAGCCCGACCCTGGGAAAATATGAGGGAGAAGAAAGCAGCTAGTGACCAGGTAAGGAGAGAGCAAGGCTGCGTTCAGGATAAGAGTAGGGCTGCATTCAAAGGGTTTAGCAATGTTTCAAAACATGATGTAGGCCTCATACTTGAGCAAGAGGTTTGGGTTGGACTTTACTGGTGTTTTGCAAGAGGGAATTATTAAATCATGGCTATCACTGTTGGAAAACACTGCTGAACTATTCCTCCAAAGAGGACCCCAAGAGGTTGGACCATAAGAGAGATCTATTGAACACATGCAGAGAAGATAAACCCCAAGGGAGCCTTTCTCCCCAGCTGGTTTGGAACAATTCATTGCTCTTAGTGAAATGTTGTTCTAAAACCAGTGGTGCAATAGCCACCTCACACTGGGGTCACATTCAGTAAGCATGAAACTGAGGGAAACGTTTTGAAATGGAGGAGGAACTTCCTGAACCTTGTTTTCCCATTTAAAAAAGCTTTCTCCTGTTTAGTTTTTGCTGAACGTGACCCAGGCTCTTGTTGTGAGGTCACCAATATACTTACTGTGATATTGGTTGCCACCAATATTGGTTTCCTCTCCTTCTTGGTCACTGATATGAGAGCGCTAGAAAGATGACAGCAAATAATGGCGTTCAATTGCTTTCACCTGTCAAGTTCTTTGATATTAGTTGTCAAAAGGAAAGCAGATAAGAGTATTGGGACGTCACTTGTCAAGCAGACAATGCTTCGCTGCCACAGCAAAATTACTGCATGATCCAGAACTTTCTGCTTCAAAATGATACATAACCATTCAATGGAAAATAAAGGAAGAGTAACATGAGGGAGAGGGAAAGGGTGAGGTGAAGAGATTGCGGATTGGGTGATAGAAGAGTGAAGAGATGGGGGGAGAGAGAATGAGTGAGGGAAGAAAAGGGGAGAGAATGGGAGAGAGGAGTGAAGAGAAAGCTCAGATACGCCCCATCTACACCAGCGGAGGACGTCATGGACCCCAGCCCAGTGTGAATGTGACCTCTGTTCTGAATCCTTGAGGGACACAACAGACAGAGAAGACTTTCACTCCTGCTACAGCCACAAGCTCTCAGCCCTATGGGCGTACACGTCAGCCACATGTCTATCAATGGCTGTCTGATACTCTAATTACATTCTGTCACTGAAAAGTGAGTGTCGGACTTTCCTCTCCTCAACGCGGCTTTTCTGTCAAACGAACACGACCTGTCTGGACCAGAAATCACAAGGGTTTGATGTTCCTCAATGCGGAATTCTTTCACAGCTGCGGTCTGAGGAGAAGCAACATGGCTGCTGCAGTGCAGCATTCTTTACTTTGTGTCCTCAGCTGTGTCAACACACACACACTGCGGTTTTAGCAGTATTGAGGACATCCTCACACAGACTTTGATCCGATTTAGCTGGCTGAGGGGAAATCTCACGGGCACACAGCCAAGGAAGTCTTTCAGAGGGAAACTGCCGGATCTAGAAAATAAATCACAGGTGTGTGTCTGTGTGTGTGTGTGTGTGTGTGTGTGTGTGTGTGTGTGTGTGTTTGCCGCTGTTTCAGATCAGTTTTATAACAAGCTTGCAGACAATTCACTGCCTACAGTGAGGTTCTATAATATGACTATCCTTACATCGTACAACCGCTCCACACCAGAGAGCACATGGAGAACTTATTACACATCTCTACTGGGCTTGGTTATGGAGCCATAACAACAGATAATAGAGTCAAGCTAACACACACAGGCCTTAATTTCTGTCTCTACCGAGACTGTTCTACAGATTGCTATCCTGCTACAAAAATGAAAGTCCTGCTCGGAAAGCATGATTTCCTAGTTTTCTTTTTCCGTAATAAATAGACTCCTACATGGGCCCTACCGACATACATCGTACCAGGAGAGAGCCAGCAGAGAGTCTATGGCAGGGGATATTTCCCCAGAGACAGAGCTAGTCCATCATCTCCACACGCACATCCTTAGAGACAGAGGCAGCCAGGTAGACTGACACTCGCATCCCATCCAGGAATCTGCCGCGGAGGGCCTAACACATTATTATAGACTGCCAATCTCTCTCTCCCTCCCTAAGGGATCTTATAATACCGCAGTACTGTTCCTTTTCCATTCAAAGCTGACTCCAGAACAGCCAGGGGTAAAATAGCCCTTTGATTGACTTGAAACTATCTCATCCACATCATCAACAGGAGCCAGCCTTGAATCAAAGCTGATATGCTGAAAGGTTGACAGTATAAAGTTTCCTTTATTACTTATTTTTCATTTGGTTAATATCAGTGAATACAGGCTAGATCCTGATCATACAACACCAAAGAAAGAGAAAACGTAGAAGTTGTCATTCATCCACTCCAAATGGTCTGTCTCTCAGAGGTTTGGAATCAGATAGCATCCCAACCCTAGCTCTCTCTCTCTCTCTCTCTCTCTCTCTCTCTCTCTCTCATCTTCCCCATCTCTCTCTCTCTCTCTCCTCTCCTCTCTCATTTTCTCTTCTTCTCTCATAGTGAAAACGACTCCTCAGAGGGTGGAAAGACGTCAGCGAGAACACAGTGTTGATACAATAGAGAGAGAGAGAGAGAGAGAGTGAGGCTCTCCTGTCAAGCTCAGAGAACAACAGGGCCAGAGGGACCACAAACAGAGGTTCCAATCAGATCAATAATGTAGAAACATGCCAGGAGGAGAACTGAATAGGTAGTACAGGCAGCCTCTGTTGTTTATCTGGGAACAACGCAACAGTAAACATGAATGATGCAGTGCCAATTAGTAACAATTATTCAAACTTATGTTGTGTGTATTAATGAGAGAGAAAAAATATATTTATGCTTGTTCAAAGTTTTGTGGGGGACAAAAAGTCCCTGACTGTAGCTCAAACGGGACAAGAGATACACTACATGACCAAAGGTGTATCGACACCTGCTCGTCAAACATCTCATTCTCGTTCTGTGAGCTTGTGTGGCCTACCATTTCGCGGCTGAGCCATTGTTGCTCCTAGACGTTTCCACTTCACAATAACAGCACTTACAGTTGACCGGCGCAGCTCTAGCAGGGCAGAAATTTGACGAACTGACTTATTGGAAAGGTGGCATCCTATGATGGTGCCACGTTGAAAGTCACTGAGCTCTTCAGTACGGGCCATTCTACTGCCAATGTTTGTCTATAAAGATTGCATGGCTGTGTGCTCGATTTTATACACCTGTCAGCAATGGGTGTCCACTAATTTGAAGGGGTGGCCACATACTTTTGGCCATGTAGTGTATGCTTGTTCAACGTTTGGAATTTCAGTTGATTACTATAGCAACCCCTTGGGCCAATCAGTGTAATTTTGTAAATGTCGGATCTCTATGGCAAGACATATCATTCAATCAAGTTTCATCAAAATCGGGCCAGTGGTGTCTGAGGTATCGCGTGTGACTAACGTACGTACTAACGTACATGCGAATGGACGGATACAGATCCACATCCCCCCCCAATCAGAAACACATAGACTGAAGACAGCGGAATGATTCTACCATCTCTTTCTCTCTGCCTATGTGCACACTGCACATCTTCCTCAACCAGTAGCGTGTATTCATGGATGCCAAGGGAAAACAGACTTCCCCAGAAAAATTTACCAAGAAAAAAGCATACAAAATATGTGTTTCAG